TGATGACGCAGTAGAAGGAAGTCGTTCGCAAAATAAAACAACAGGAGGAGAAAAACGAAAAATAAAAATCCCCGCAAAAAAAAGAATCACCTGCCAATCTCTGCCAATGCCCGCCACTCTCCCAGTCGGCCCGCGCTGCACGTTCGTGACGTGGACAAGGTCGGTTCATCTCCGCACCCGTCCCGGCTCGGCCCGGCCCGGAGGACTGACTCCAGCCGCTCCCAGCTCCAGTCAGTCCCGCGGACCCAACCTGACCTGCCGCACCGCGCCAAGCACCGCGCAGTCCAGTGCCACCCTCAGCCGTGTGCTTTACGCCAGTAAGGAGCAACCTCGCCGAGCTCCCGACCCGACACCTAGCCCGCAGAGCACACACCACAGTTTGTTAAAGGTAAGTTTCGCGATCGGTGGCGCGGGTCTCATCAGAACACGTTGTAATTTGGAATAAAATCTTGGCGAACCCAGAGAAGATCAGATAGCCAACACGATTATCGTCCGTGCAGTGCACGACACACAATATGCCCCATGTAGCTCCCAAAGTAACAACTAGCGGCCCTCGTAACAACTCATGCGCAGGCGTCATCTGTATCGGTCTGCTAAACCCCGACGCAAAGCGACGCAAAAGCAGAGCTCATTCTCATTGCTACGGCAGGCCGGAGGGGCCGGAGCTGCTGCCCCTCCAGGACATTTCGGCCAAGGGAAATAAAAGAGAGGACAGTAAACTGCGCTGCGTCTGCCCGCCGGCCGGGCGCCGTGAAAACCTGCTGCGGGCAGGCGGGTTCGTCGTACTCACTCGTACGCCCCTCCTCCGCGGCCCGCTACGTCCGCATACAGCCAGGCACAAAAATCTTCAAAGCGCTACCTCAGTCGTCGACGACCTACCCCCTACCCCCCACACACATACCAAACGAGTGTATGCCTCATAGCTCACCTTACTGACAATGGGCCGTCTAGAGCGAATGGGTATACTAGCCAGGACCCACGGGTGCAGCCGGGTTGCCTACTCGCACGGGGGTGTGCTGCACGCTACTCTACACAGAAGAGACGCGTATCAGAGAACGCCTTTTAATTTTTCGGACACGCGTAAAATTTTAATGGCAAATTCTACTTCGGACAGAATAAAATGAGATTCGGCACATGAATTTTCTGATTGCTTTCTCCTGTAAAGTTCAATGCTGTCGAGTTTTTGGTAAATTGTTTTGCTGTGGGAATACAGGTTTGCACAAAATGCACAAAATAAAGGATCGTTTCCCTCCCTGCGGATCGCATATAGCCGAGGGGTACACCACTCTTAAAAGTAGGTGTACGCGATTAAAAAAGTCAAGAAAAAAGTCAAGATAAAGTCAAAAAGTCATTTGAAAAGTCAAAAAAAGTCAAAAAGTCAAAAAAAAGTCAAAAAAGTCAAAAAAAGTCAATGAAAGTCAACGAGAAGTTGACGAAAAGTCGACGAGAAGTCAGAGAAAAGGCACTGAAAAAGTCAACAAAAAGTCAACATGCGAGTGCAATATCTGCCTGTAAGAGGCCAAAAAGCTACGG